GGGAACCCTCATGAGGCTCTGGCCTCTGTGTCCCCTACCCTGGCAGAGTCCTCCCTTCCTGAGACAGTCCCGAAGACTCCCGACTGATGTGCTCTCCTGCAGGCTGGGGGCTCCTGGCCCCTACCATCCTGCCCCTCCAGCAGGTGGGTGGGGCCTTACCTCCAGGCCATGGCTTCTTTTCCAGCTTCAGACTGGCCAGTTCCGCCATCACGTCCTTTGCTAAGGAAGCCGGGCCATCGGCCACCACAGGCAGCCCCCAGGGACTCTCTGCAGGGAGAAATGGAAAAGGGAAGCGTGAATCTCCAGGCATAAATATCCTGTACATCTTCGTGTCTGCTGGGAGAGGGTATGGAATGGCAATGAGAGGCACGCTGGAAGGGAAGAGGGACGCAGGGGCCTGGCCAGAGGAGCCACTAGAAATTTCACCGGCGCGCAGGTGCAAACCAACAAGGTGCGTCTTGGGCCTAGTGCCAGGTGTGCTGCTTGAGTTTTATAAGTATTGATTCATGGTGTTTTCACTGGCATTTCCTGTAAGGTAGGCCCTGACTGTTCTCATTCAGAGAGAAGGGAAGCCGGGGCCGGGCTGCCCCCACTTCTGCCCCAGCGCCGCCCAGCAGCTCTGATAATCTGCCATTGACATGGGGTGGGGGGAACTGGGCACTGGCGGGTGTTGAAAGCTCCCAGGTGATGCTTGTGTGCTGCCACGTGGACGGCCCTCTCCTCCCGGCGGACATGCTCGCCTGCGCAGCTCTGCCAGCCCTGGCCTCTCCCCTTGCGTTAGTACTCATTTGACAAACATCTGTTGAGCACCTGGCACAAGCCAGGCATTGGGCCAGGTGTGTGTGTGTGGGGGGGTGCGGGTGGGGACAGAGATGACCTGGTCCCAAGGGAGACAGACATGGTCCCAAGGGAGATCAGGTCTAGCAGGAAGGGGGACAACTGAACAATTAAACAACTGGGTTCAGTAAGACTAGTGGGAGCTGATGAGAGCAGGGTGCAGGAGGAACCAGGTGCTGGTAACACCCTGGGGACAGGAGGGTGCTGGGTCAAGTCTTGCAGGCTGAGACCCAGAGGAAACCTTACCAGCTGTGAGCTTCCAGGCAGTGGGGTAGGTGAGCAGGGAAGAACATTCTAGGCTAGGGAGTCTTTAGGTGTTATCCCTGGGCCATGCATCAGTGCCGCCTGGGAACTTGTTAGAAATGCACATTCCTAGGCCCCAGCCCTACTGAATTAGAAACCGGGGGTGGGGCCCAGCTTTCTGTAGTTCACACACCTTCTGGGTGATTCTCAGGTGATTCTAAAGTTTGAAAACTACCGCTCTTGGCAAAAAGAACTAGCAAAGTATGAATGCCTGGAGAAAGACTAGTATATTCAGGAAAACCAAGGTCAAGGCAGACTGCAAATTTAAGAGATGAGTCTGGGAAGGAGAGAAAGGGGGCTAGATCGCCTCTCCATGCCTCAGTTTCTCCTTCAGAAAGTGGGGGGATAATAGGACTGTCGTGAGGGTGTGCTAAGTTAATACTGCAAAGTGCTTAGAATAGTGCCTAGTGGGAAGGGGCGTTGTTCAAAGCATTTGTCAAATCAGTCCACGGGAAAGGCCACGCTGGTACAGATCCTAAGGGCTGGAATTCAGGGGCAAGGTCTGGGCCAGAGAAAGGACATGGCTGTGGTTGGCATGGAGGGGACCCTGAATCCCTGGCTTGGGTGAGCCTTCCATGGAGGGGAGGACTGGGGAAGCAGAGTGAGAAGGGTCTGCAGAAGCACCTGAGGAGGGAGGGAGGGAAGGGTAGAAGGAGACCAGAAAAAGTCTCAGGAGTCAGCCCTTAAAGTCCCACAAGAGCATGTCTCTCAGTGCCCCACACTAGCCTCTGAGGTCCCTCACCTAACCTGCCCTTCGCACTGCTCCCATCTCAGTGCCAGCAGCACACCCAGCCAGGTGCTCAGGCAGATGCCCAAGAGCAACTCCTTCATCCTGCTCCCACCTCCCAGCCCCTAACTCCAGTTTTGCCTTAGTAACCAGCTTTGTAATTATCTATCTTAATTATTCTGTCTCTAGGTATCTCGGTCCCAAGGGCCACTGATTAATTCTGCCTTCTTGCCTCTCTCACCTGGTCAGGACTTCCTGCCTTGGGCCTTGCCTGAGGCAGCATGGACTCCAGAGCCAGCCTTCTGGGGTCCAAATGCTAACCAGCCAATGGAAGTTTGTGCAACGCTGCATAGCCAGTTAATCTCTCTGAGCCTCAGTTTTCCTATGTAACCATGGAGATAGGACTGAATTGTCATAGTGTGCTATGAGGCTCAGCTCCCTGCTGCGGCACTCACAAATCTGTCCCCTGAAAGCCACTTCCCCATTTCTCACCTCCTGAAAGGAAGGTCAGCGTCCAGGAACATCGGGAGGGGCCTGCTGGGAACCTCTGGCTTTGTCTCCTCCATGTGCCATATCTCTCCTACAGTTTGGCACACACCTGGGTTCATCCCTCCACTTCTTCCCACCTCCCTGGCTTGGGGTATCATCCCCCTGGGCCAGCCCTGACCCTTCTCCCAACAAGGCTACAGGACCTGTAGGCACACACCCATGACTATCGCTGCCATGCACAACTGGAACCACCCTATATCGCACCAGGAAGGGGCTGTAAGAGGTTCTTACCCGCGGGTCCACAGATCTCCCGGGACTGTGTGAAACCTGAAAACTTGAGTTTTGAAGCCTCAATTTGAAGAAAAAAATAACCTTATTTCCACAGACTTCTAGCTGACATTTAGCCTTTCCTCTCATGATGACTCAGGGCAACAATATGCAACGGGGTTAGCAGAACCTGTGCTTTGGTCCCATGCAAGCCAAAGGTGTTTTCAAATCATGTGACAGTTGTTGCAGACACCTGGAAACATGTTTCCTTTCCTCACTACTTCCAAATTCTGGGAGCTGTTAGCTCTGTTGCTCTGCATTATTTAATGTAACTTAGAAGCACATATATTACATATCACAAATTTTTATTTCTAGTTAAAAATGTTTAATAGCTTTATTGAATAATTGGGTTCCTTTGTAATCCTATATATTTCATTTTATGTATTGAAAACATCCTGAGACTGTATCTAAGGCATAGGAGAGTTTTAGGAACTCCGACTCCACGTCCCAGTGCTGTCCCCTAGTGTCCTCCCTGGGACTTACCGTAAATCGGTAGATTGTAAACCGAGGATGTTTTCTGAAAAGCGGAAATGGCTCCGTTTAAGTGAAGCTCTTATAACAAGGGCTGATTAGTACGTATCACAGCCAGGGCGGGGGCCCCCTCCCGGACTGCAAACACGCCGGCCCGGCCGCGGGGGGCGGTGGCCTTGGGGCGCCCCGGGGAATCGGGAGGAGCTCAGGCCCCGCCAGCTCCGCGCACAAAACTGAAACTGCGAAAGAACGGAAATTCCACCCTAGGCTGCCCCTCCGGTTCTCCCTCCATTCCCCCCCCCC